CCTTCCCACCCCTCGCTCCCCCCAGGTCGTGGGCAGCATGCAGCAGCTGTCGTCCGACCTCTACGGCACAACGCCCCTGTCACACGCTTGCCCACACATTCTCCCCCTCCCTTCACCGCTCCCCCTTCCCCACTCAACCGTGGCTGATGGGGGACAGCGACAGCTGCAGCGGCACCGCGGCGAAGAGGGGATTGCTGCGCACCCTGTGTGCATACTCTACCACGTGCGAGGCCGGGCCGCTTAACTGAGAGAGCGGGGGAAGGGAGACGCGGGAAGGCGGCAAGGAAAGAGGGGCTGACAAGTGGGATGAGGCGAACCAGAGAAGGGATGAGACAAGAGGGAGAAGAGAGGCACGAGACAAAATAGAGGCATGGTTCCTTTGAGCTTACGCTGTGAAGGACTCAACATGGCTCTTATTCGGTGCATCAAGGCTGTTGGAGAAGGGCAAGCATGAATTCCTGTGCATAGTCGTCTGATGAGACCCATCAACGCTGGAACTTCTATTGAACCTTGAACCCTCAACCTCGAACCCTCAATCTTAGACCCTGAACCACAAATGCTTATCACCTAAGCCATGCCCTGCAGTGAGTTTTAAACCCACAATCCTAAACCTTGAACCCCGGTCTGCGAGGTGCCCCAACCCACACTCCTCTCACGTGCGCGTTAATGCCCCAACCCACACTCCTCTCACCTGTGCGTTGATGCCCCAACCCACAATCCTCTCACCTGAGCGTTGATGCCCCAACCCACACTCCTCTCACCTGTGCATTGATGCCCCAACCCACACTCCTCTCACCTGTGCATTGATTCCCCAACCCACACTCCTCTCACCTGTGAGTTGATGCCTCAACCCACACTCCTCTCACCTGTGCGTTGATGCCTCAACCCTTACTCCTCTCACCGGTGTGTTGATGTCCCAACCTACACTCCTCTCACCTGTGCGTTGATGCCCCAACCCACACTCCGCTCACCTGTGCGTTGATGCCCTGATGGCTGATGTAGATTCTTCCTCCAATGTCACAATTCAGACAGATACACGCAAACACACAGACAGAGAGGCAGGCAGGCAGGCAGGCAGGGAGGTTGGGAGGGAGGGAGGCTGAAGGAGACGACCAGAGGCAGCACGCGGCAGGCATGGAGGGCGAAGTAAGGTTTTCAGCCGAGAGAAATGTGTAGAGAGCCGCGTGGAACAGGTGGAATGCATGCAGCAAAATTTCTCAGAAGCACGCTTTGAAACGCGCGTTGACCACGCTCCTTCCAGAGCCAGAACCCATGCCACTTGCTGCCACCACGCCAGCCACTCCTCCCAGCCTCCACTTCTGTAGACAATTCTCTCTTCTCACCTCACACTCTCTACAGTCTCCCCAAACCCCACCCCCCCCCCCCGCCCGTCCCCCCTTCCCTCTCATACGTCCAGAGCTGCGTCTGCCACCGAAGATCACCATGCAGCGTTGACCACCCCATTGTTAGAAATAGATTGCCAATCCCACTTTTGTATTTGTACTTTTATATCCTAGTTTAGGTTAGGAATGTTCTAGTGGGTTGGGGTGTACTCACAAAATCCCAACCTCACCCAATTGTGATCCCCCCAATCTCCAATTATCCAATTGGAGATTCCAGAGATCCCAGTAGGGATTCCCTCCGATTCCCCCTTCATTCATTCTCCCTTACCTTGCCATGTACTTAAAGAGCCTTGGGCTCTTTACCTAATCAATCATTTCAGCTCTATTTCTTACATGGTATCAGAGCGACCTATGCGCTCACGCGGATCAAGGTCCTAATCTTAACGTGCCCGCGCTACGCGCACCTCATCGTCGCGACATTCGTCTCGAGTCAACGGAATTTTCGACGTGCTCCACTCTACAGTCGCGCCTCTCATCATCGACCACCATTGCGCTCGACCTCTTTGAATTTCTCATCTCTGAAGCGTTCACGCTTCTCATCATCGATTTCCTCCTCGGTTCTCCTTGGTCGAGTCTCAATTTCGACCATCTCTTAATGCTCGTTTTCGAGTTTCCTCTCGGACCACGCCAACATAGGCGAAGTCCCCTCACGGAATCGCCTCCACGAACGTCTCGCGCCAAGCAAGAGCAGGTACACGGGTGGAAGCGGAGCGGAGCTGGTTGCGAAGCTGGTTGCGAAGCTGGTTGCGGAGCTGGATGCGGAGCTGGTTGCGGAGCTGGTTTCGGAGCTGGTTGCGGAGCTGTGTAGCTGCGGGACAAGGCCTGGGGGTGTGTGGGGGGGTGTGTAGGTCCGGGGTTAGACTTAGGCTCAGAATTAGTTTCAAGTCGGTGTTTCAACAAATTCCCGCCGACGCCATTTCCTTCTTAGCGGCATTTCGGCGAAGCCGTCTGAGTGATTTTCAGTAATTCTGGTCGACCGATTTCCGGAAGTGCCGCGCTGTGCACCGAAGTTCTTATCGGTGACTTAAGAGCATCGCCTCGCAAAAATCAAATGGGAATGGCTTACTCAACCACTTCACTTGCCAATCCGATCCCGCTCCTTCGTCTCGAGCCGGACGGTACATGCTCCAACTACAAGGCTAGGCGCTATGGTGTCGACAAGCACCTCCGTAGTTGTGAGGTGAAGGGGCTCGACCTCACCGACGTTCTCCTCAACATTGGTGACGGCAAAGAGCCTCCTAAACCCGAGAGGTCCACCGATCCAGCTAATGCCGCCACCGTAGCAGTTTATACTACAGCACTGCTCAAGTACAAAACTTGGGAGAAGGCCGATGGCGCGGTCATTAGTGTCTTCATGGGCACCACTCCTCCCCAACTCGCCGAAACCTACCACAACTACCCGTCTGCCAACGCCATTTGGCTCTACCTCGAAGACCGCTTCCTGAACAAGACTGCAATGGGAGTTGCTATACTTATCCCCCGCATGTTCCAAGTGCGGCTCGAGGACTCGCCAGACATGGCGGACTATGTCACCAAGGTGCAATCCATTCATGGTGAACTCAAGCAGTTGGGGATAGTCTTCCCCGAGCAAGCCCCTGCAGCCGCTCTCCTAGTCGGCCTCACTTCGGCATACGAAGTCACACGCAAGATGCTCTTGGGCCTTGCTCCTGCGGACCTCACATTTGCCAAGGTCTCATTTGCACTCCTTTCTGTCGAAAAGGACAACAGCGCTCAAGCCAAGGCCAATGCAATCTCTGTTAGAAACAAAAATGTTGCGTTTATTGATCAAGCAAAGGCATTACATAGGAAGAGAGAGATGAGCTAGGAAGGGAAGGTTGGAAGGGAAGTGGAGGTTAGGACCAATCACAAGGGAGGGAGGATCCTTCCAAATGTGGTTGACCACAAGTGGGAGGTGGTCCAAGTATGGTGGACCACAAGTGGCTTAGGCAACCCACTTGTGGTGCCCCCACAATTGTTGTCCTTGTGTTTGGGGGCTCCAACCACAATTGGGTTGGATTGACACCCCAACACAGGTGTACACCCAACTAGGGATGTAAACACAATATACACAACTAGCATAGCATGGTATATTCTAACACAACCCCATAGCATGCAAAGCTATTGTATATATAATGGACAACCCCTGAATCAGGAAGGGGGCCGGGGCCCAAGGCCGAGAAGGCGGAGAAGGGCAGAGTGCGCGGTCTTCGGGAGGGCCTTGGTGAAGATGTCGGCCAAGTTGGCCTCTGCAGCGATCTTGCGGACCACCAAGTGACCTTGCTGGACCAACTCCCGAACGAAGAAGTAGCGGAGTTCAATGTGCTTGGAGCGGCCATGGAAGACAGGGTCCTTTGTGAGATGGATGGTGCTGGCGTTGTCGCACCAGAGGGTGGGACAGCGCTGAGGAGCACCGATCTCAGCAAGGAGGAAGGTGAGCCAGCGAGCCTCCTGAGCGGCCATGGTGCAAGCATAGAGCTCAGCCTCGCAGGATGAGAGGGCGATGGAGGAGGAGCGAGTGGAGCGCTAGCTGATGAGGCCGCTGCCAAGGGTGAAGCCGTAGCCTTGAGAGGAGCGGTGATCCGGCTGGGAGTCAGCCCAGGAGGAGTCACTGAAGCCAGAGAGGAGGGGAGGAGAAGAGCCTCCGAGGGTGTAGACATAGTCCTTGGTATCACGGAGGTAGCGGAGTACCCGCTTCGCTGCAGCCCAGTGCTCATCAGTGTGACGACCGGTACCGACGAAGCGAGCAAGAACGCTGATGGGGTAGGCAAGGTCGGGGCGGGTGCACATCATAGCGTATATCAGCGAACCGACGAGCTCAGCGTAAGGATGGTCAGAGGAGGAGGGAGCAGGAGGAGGGGCAAGCTGGTGGTTAGTCTGCAGGGGAGTGGTAACCGGCTTGGCCTGCGCCATGTCGAACCGCTGCAAGACTTGGTCGATGTAGAAGGACTGAGATGTTATAATCACAATAGGCTTAGATGTGCCTATAATGAGAGATAGAGAGCACAGTCGGATTTCCGTCAGACGGCTTCAAATATTGATAACGATCTGGTCGCTGAATCAAACGAGGATCTGTAAGTTGGATCTGGAGCGCGTTGCTGTCTTCTATCAGCAGCAAGTTGAATCATGAAATTCCATGAAGATGTGACGACGCTATGGTGGTTTGACTGGCAGGAGGTATAGCAGCCACTATAGTCTTAGAAGTACAAACTTAGCAAGAAGAGTTCGAGAGGGAGATGGTTCCCAGCCTCTACATACCCCAAGAGCCGAGTTCCAAGTTGATGGTACACCACCACAGAGTCCCCAACCATGAAGAGTCTCGAAACCAACCCTCAAGGGGGCTACACCAAGTGAAATGTAACACTACGAAGTAACGTTACTATTTTCACTATATTAATATTTATCCGCATCCCTTGGGCTTGAAATCTTGAGCTCTTGTTCTTGGATCTGCAAGATAAATTCTTCTTGAGTTGATGGGGGCTTGCTGCACACACCTGCGACACGATGGACACTTCACACTCGAAAAAATAGAAAAAACACATGCGACACACAAACGACGACTTGACATGCGAGTTGTAAAAACTCGCTAATGTCTTGACCGACACAAGCCACATTGTGATACACCATTCAAACACACACACAAGCACTGGATAGCAATGACATAGACTCACAATTCATTCCATGCCATGCATGCACACACACAAACAAGGACGACAAGCCGAGTGCAAGCCATAGGGTTGCACCAACAAACTCCCCCTCGGATTGTTGGCCTTAGAATCTGCTCCCCTTAGTTCAGAGCCATCCCAGCAAGCTTGCAACACTTCCAATGCTGCTGCTCAACCAGCCTCTTGGTCATCATATCAGCAGGCTGTGCCGTCGTCTTCACGTAGTGCAACTCCACTTCACCCGAGGTTACCATGCTCCTCACCCAATGCCACTTCACCTTCATGTGCTTGGTAAGGCCATGAAGAACGGGGTTCTTAGCCAATGCAATAGCACCCTGGCTATCACAGTAGATTGGGATAGGTCCTTGCTGCTCCTCCCCCAATTCAGCTAGCAAACGCCGCTGCCACACAACCTCTCTTATGGCACGAGCCATGTACTCGGACTCCACCGAGCTCAATGCTTGGTCCACTTGTTTCTTGCTCTCCCAAGCTGTTGGGCCTCCACCAACACAGCAGATGAAGCCTTCCATACTTGTCATGTCCTCTGGTTCTGATTCCCAAGATGCATCAGAGAAGGCGGTGAGAAAGAGCCTCCCAGGTTCGACTCCATCCGCACCCTTTTGACGCCTTTGTGCCGCCGCGGAGTATTGCAGTCCAACAGTTGCTGTTTGGCCAAGGTACTTGGCCACCTTCTCTCCAGCTGCTACCTGCTCCTCATTAGGGCATTGGACAACCCTAGCCAGCTGCCCGGTAGCAAAGGCTGCATCCGGCCTTGTGTGAACGGCCGCATACATGAGGCTGCCCACCAAGGAGTGAAAACGGCGCCTCTCCTCTTCACCAACACTTTCCTCCGCTGGTCCTTTCACACACTTGAACCCTGAGGGAAGAGGAGTAGCCACATGACCTTCACTCTTCCCAAAGTTTGCAGCCAAGGCCTCCAAGTACTTCTTTTGATGCACTCGCATCCACCGCTTCTCCACATCTCGCTCAATGTGAAGCCCAAGGTAGTAGTTGACGTCACCAAGGGTCTTGCACTTGAACTTGTCTTGAAGCTTCAGCATCACCTCCTTCACAAGGTCAGAGGAGGGTGAGAATATGAGGATGTCATCCACATAAACCACCATGAAGCTCCTCTGCTCCCCCTCGCCAAGCATGAACAAGGATTGATCGGCCGTTGAGGGAGTGAAGCCGATCGCCTCCAAGACTTCCCGCAGCTTGATGTACCATTGCCTAGGGGCTTGCTTGAGGCCATAGAGTGCTTTCTTCAGCTTCCACACTCTGCCACTCCCATCATTGTGCCCCTCTGGCTGCTCCATGTAGGTCTCTTCCTCCAAAACGCCGTTGAGGAAGGCCGTTACTATATCCATTTGCTTCACCACCCATCCCTTGATGGCCGCCGCGGCGAAGAGGGTTCGAAGGGTTGTACCCTTCACCACAGGAGCATACACTTCATTGTAGTCCTTCTTCTCTTGCTGCTGATACCACTTGGCTATAAGTTTGCTCTTGTAGCGCTCAATGTTGCCGTCGGCGTCGGTCTTGCGCTTGAAGAGCCACTTGGAAGAGATCGCCTTACGCCCCGGAGGTAGGTTCACCAAGTCAAACGTGTCGTTCTCGATGATGCTCCCCATTTCTTTATCTGAGGCCTTCTTCCACTCCTTCCCATTGGGGCCCTCCCAATCCTCCTTGGGATTTGTAGGCTCCCCCGGTATCTCCACCGGAGAGAAGAAGGCAAAAGCGCACTCCTCGCTTTCATCTTCCACATCATCACCTAGCATGAGAGCCGAACCGGTCAAGGTTGAGTTGGCTGGTCCTCCAAGCCGTTCATAGCTCAACCTATTGGGGGGCTGAGTCCTCCTTCTCCCCCTTCCTTCCTCCTCTGCTGCAGGGACTTGAATGCTCTCATGGCTTTGCGGTAAGTCCGGTCGGTTCCCGCGAGCACTTGTAGCACGAGGCGGAAGTGGCGGTGAACGCTCATTACCTTGCTGCACCTCCTCCTCCTCCTCATCCCCATTCATTTGGGGAGATTGCCTCGTAATTGTGCTGCTGCTACTCAGCTCCAAGGGCAGCTCCACATGCTCCAAGCCGGTCCTCTTCACCTCTCCAAGCCGCACACCAATCTTCGCTTGGTTCTCCGCCTTCCACTCCTTGTACGGTAAGTTCTCCATGAACTTGCAATCTCTGCTCACCAAGAACTTCTTGGTAAATGGGTCCCATAGAAGCCATCCCTTGCTGTTTTGGGCCATGCCCAGGTGCACGGCCCATGTTGCCTTGGCATCAAGCTTGTTGTGCCGAAGTTTCTTAGGCACAAGTGCCATGCACATGCACCCGAACACCCGAAGCATATCCACCTTCGGCTTCCTTCCAATCCGCTCCACATAGGGCACCCATTTGTCTTCTCCCACATGAGCCAAGGCTTTGTTCTTGGCCACACAAGCATGCCGCACCGCATCCGGCCAAAAGTAATTGGGTAGACCGGCTTCAATGAGAAGTCCCCGAGCCGTCTCCGTGAGTGTCCGATTCGCACGCTCGGCGATGCCGTTCATTGCAGGAGAGTAGGGCATGGTAAGAGAGTGCCTTATGCCCTGCTTCTTCAGCCAAGTTGAGAAATCCTTGCTCAGGAACTCTCCCCCACGGTCAGTGCGAATCGCCTTCACAAGTCGGTCTTGTTGCCGCTCCACCATCGGCAACCAATCGGTCTTCACCGTTTCAGCTACGTCACTCTTCTTGGGCAGCACATACACCCAAGTCATGCGAGTGTAGACGTCCACAATGGTGAGGAAGTACTCTGCTCCAGCAGCTCCAAGCTTCAAGGGGCCCACCACATCCATCACCACCTCATCAAGTGGTGCCTTCGCTGTTGTCTCCGAGCTATGGAACGGGTAGCGGGTGAACTTGGCTTGCATGCATGTTGGACAGCCAAGCACCTCATTGGGCTCCCCCTTGACACATATCCCACTGACCATCTCTTGCTGAACAATCTGCTGCAAAATGGGCAATGCCACATGCCCCATTCGCCGATGCAAGGTCAGCCAATCACACTCTCCCGTAGCGGAAGTCGGGTTGGAGAAAGCGGCACTCGCAATTGTGCCCCACAAGCTCTCTCCTTTCTCCTTCGCCGCTGCTGCTTTGTTGATCTTAGCCTTCTCCTCCTCATTTCCACCACCTTTGGCTGCTGCACCATTCTCCTTGGGTTCACACGCCTTGCTGGTCTCTCCAAGGTTGCACTCCTTCGAGTCACTCTTGGTGTCACTTTGCTTTCCGTGATCACCGCCACCAACCGCTTTCACGCTTGGTGCTGACGCTTGCTGCCACTTGCCTCTCTTTAGGCATGGGACCACTGGGATTTGCCACATCTCATTGTAGATGTCCCTGTCCTCATGAAGGTCCCAAAGCTTCCGCTCACCAAGCCTTGCGGTATAGGTTTTGGATCCCTTGGAAGATGTGTCCATGCCGGCCTTTTGCAAACGCCGAACGGAAATCAGGTTGGCTGCTAGGTTGGGCACCAAAAGCACGTTCTTGAGGCCCACCATCTTCCATCAGCACCCTTGAACATGGCCTTGCCCATGCCTTCACCTCTGCTCGCTGCCCCAAAGCCGATGTAACATGCTTGACCGGCGACGGTCGAGTTCGGTGAGCAAGTCCGCACGAGGTGTCATGCTGTAGGTGGCGCCGCTATCGATCACCCAAAAGTCCAAAGAGTGAAGGGTGACCTTTCCCACAGTAGCTGGCTCCTCAAAGCCTTCCACACCTCCTGCTGCAGCTGCCGCTTGCGTGGAGACAAAGAAGAATTGGCCCGGGTATCGATCTTCACTCGAGTCCTTGTCGTAGTCTCCACCTTTCATGCTTGCCGCTTCGCTTCCACGACCACCACGGCCTCCACGACCTCTGCCTCTTCCTCCCCTTGCTCCTCTGCCCTCTTGGCCTTGAGAAGGGGTCCATCCATCAGGCAATCTGAAGCAATCTCTCCACATGTGGCCGGTCTTGTGGCAAAAGTGGCATTCGCCATCAAATCGACCGCGCCCACGCCCGTAGCCATTGTTGTTGTTGTTGCTGCCATATCCTCCATTACCACGGCCTCCATTGAAGTTACTGCTGCCAAATCTTCCTCCTCGCCCTCTGCCCCTTCCACGGCCGTGCCCACGGCCCATGCTTGCAACTCCGGCACCATCGGGACCCGCCAATTCGCGACGGCGGAAATCTTCTTGTAAGATTTCCCGCTTCACAT